CAGAAGAGGACAAGTAAAAGCCATTAAAGTCCTAGAGTGCAAACACGAGCAGATTGAGTGACATTCAAGTTTTCTTTGGAGTGACTCGTGAGGCTTTGTGAGAGTATATTCTGGTAAGATCTTTTACACATTTTATTCTTTTCTTATTGCACTAACTATGTCTCGAATTCCAGAACGAACCCCTGAAAGAGAAGCCCCTAATTTGCAAACTCAAGCAATCATGCATGAAATGGCCAGATTGCTGAAATTAAAATTTGAGCCTTTACATGATCGTATGGATCAATTTGAAACATCTTAGGCAACTGAAGAGTAAATCACCCTAGAATAGAAGAAATATTTGAAGAAGAGGAGGCTGAAGTAACATCATTAGCACGAAGAGATGCTCATTGAAATCAGAATGATAACTTCAGCAACATCAAAGTGACCATTCCTCCATTTCAAGGACGGATTGATCCTGAAGCCTATCTTGATTGGGTAATCAAGATCGAACACATTTTTGAATGCCAAAATTATACAGAGCAAAAGAAGGTCAGGCTTGCTGCTATGGAATTCGTGGACTATGCCTTAGTTTAGTGGGACCAATTGGTGAGTTCAAGAAGATGAAATGGTGAACGCCCCATCAATTCGTGGGAATAAATGAAGGCCATTATGAGGAAAAGGTTCGTGCCTACTCACTATCACCGAGATCTTTTCCATAACTTACAAAATCTGAAACAATAAAGCAAGAGCGTTGAAGATTATTTCAAAGAAATGGAGATAGCCATGATCCGAGCCAATGTTGATGAAGACAGAGAAGCAACCATGGCAAAGTTTTTATCTAGCCTAAATTCTGATATTGCTAACCTTGTTGAACTTCAGCATTATGTAGAGATTGAATAGATGGTACATGTGGCCATGAAAATTGAAAGACAACTCAAAAGGAAATCCTACAATAGGAACAATCCAAGTTCGGCCACCAAATGGAAGAAAGAGCCTATTACCTTCAGGAAACCAATTCCAGCACAAGCAAAGGATCATATAGAAGTTCCCAAAACTAAACAAGTGGGTGAATCTAGTAAGGGCAAAGAAAAGCAAATCGGTACTTTCGAGAGATCCAGAGACATCAAATGCTTCAAATGTTTTGGGAAAGGACATGTTGCTAGTCAATGTCCCAACCGAAATGCCATGATGGTATTGACAATGGAGATATTGTATCGGACTGTGATGAGCCTATTTTTGGCGAGGAACCTAAAATAATAGAAGACGAAAAAATAGAAGAAAATGCATACCATGGTGAGGTGCTTGTTTCAAAAAGGTTCCTACAATCACAAACATCCCAATAAGATATTCAAAGAAACAATATCTTCCATACAAGATGCCATATCAAGGACAAGGTTTGCACAATGATCATCGATGGAGGAAGTTGCACAAACATAGCCAGCACTCTTATGGTTGAAAAACATGGATTGGCAACATCAAAGTATCCCACTCCATATAAACTCCAATGGCTCAATGAAGGAGGTGAGTTAAAATGTTACCAAACAAGTTCTAATTCCTTTTCCAGTTGGTAGGTACAAGAACAAGGTGCTTTGTGACATTGTCCCTATGCATGCTAGCCACATATTACTTAGAAGACTATGGCAGTATGAATAAAGGGCCATTCATGATTGTTATCACAATCAATACACTTTCAAGCATGATGGACGCAAGGTAACCTTGATGCCTTTGATGCCAAAAGAGGTACAACATGATCAATTACATATGCGAAAGAGTGTACAAGCATGGCGTAAGGACAAACAACCAATGAAAAGTGAAGAAGGACAAAACATGAAATCCAATTTCTTCATGAAGCAACATGATGATTCATTGCTGAAAAATGAAGGATCTCGTACAAAAAGTGGCGATGAATGGAATTTAAAGTCATAACTCTTCACCAAGGGACTTAATCACCAAAAGGTAAGTAACTCTTCATTTAAAACTTATTATCTCCTCACTTTTCAGAACCAAACACGTGAAGGGTCACTTCCAAAAGGGATATCCTTTAATGATGATCACTCCCAAAAGGTACCTATTGGTAAATCATATTCCAAAGAAAGGCTTAATGGGAAATCTTATAAAAGGGTACCTAATGGAAGAACACAAACGTTCAAATGATGCAATCTTTTATCAAGAAGACGTAAAGCTTTGCAATGACAGAATGAATTTAATTTGAGGACATATCACCCTAAAGAAGGGGAACGATGCAAGCACGTTTTCACCTACAAAGGGAGTACTTTTGAACATCTTTATATTGAATTTACTTTATATTAGTTATATACTATATGTTTTTATAATACATTTTATGATAAAAATTCTTGTTTTGTAGTTAATAAATGCTTAGTATGTACGCATCATGCACATTGATATTTAAGAATGTTAGGACAGTCTTATAATCATATTATGCATGATTATCATATATACATCAAGGCATCATCATTATAAATAATTTTATTAGTTCATATAGATTCATATTAGCTCTTAAGCTTCATGCATTATCTTACACATATTTTGAGATGATATAATTAGCTCATGACCTTCAAATATAGCTCACATCACCATAATCATACATGGCAGCAAGGGATTTAGCTCATAACAGCTCAATATCATGGACTTACTTTGTTTCCTTGTATATATAGGTACATTGGAGTGTGATGCACGTTGAGGTAGCTTGGTGAATGATTTGGACGACATATGAATCTCACAAACAGCTAACAAAGTACATGGAAGCTCATGAAACACTAAGGAAAGCTCGATTCAGCTGGAGGAGCTTAAGGCTAGCTAAACTCAGCTAGTTGGACTATTTAGAGTTGAGTTGCCAGAAGTGATATCAATGGTAGCTGAATATAGCTGAACATGTTGTTATGGAGCTCACAAGTACTCGACTAGGAAGCTTGTTCACAATCAGCCCATGCTTGCTAGCTAGCTCCACACTCAAGCTAGCTTGGAAAGAGACACATGCACGCCCAACTTGGAGTACACGAGCAACCATCATTCCATGCACAAGGCTACACTACAATGTTCCCTATAACACCCATGTGCGTGCTGTATTACCAGCCCCCATGTGCCTTGTGTGTGATATCATTTAGGTGCCAAGATGAAGGGACACAAGAGCTATTTGGCCAAGGGTTATTACCCTTCATTTAAACTGAACCATAATCTCTATTTTATAATTAAATTATGTCTCTATAGGAAGGCACAAGGCTGGTTGAATCCCCTTGTAACCATTCGGCCATGCGTCTTCATTTCCTATAAATAGGAAAGCATATTTCATTTGTAAGACGACTTTTTTGATTAATATAAGTGAGATTATTCTCTTTCTTAAGTCCTGGTGACTTTTATCGACTGATCAAGTATTTTAATACTTGTGGCGTCAACCCCTTTCCCCTTAATACTTCTGGTTCCTAGTTCTTATAACTAGTGGGTCAAAGTCCTTTATACCACCCCTTAAAGAAGCAATATAAAGTCTGGGTCTTTGCTCTCTATAACATTGGTTCTTCTTTGAGTCTTCTTTAAGATACTATCCTCACAACCATCCCATTGTTTCATTAACCAAACCCATAGCCATATCAATTATCTTCTGCTTCCATCTCTCATTTATTAAATAACCTACCTATTCACCTATACGTTTACCACCCTTAACCATCTCTTTTGAACCATTCACTTATGCAGGTTGTTTTGCTTCCTTCTTAGATCCACAATCAATTGATAAGGTACAAGTTCCTTATATCACTTTATTTATCCTCAATTTTGATCGACCATTGAAATAGATTTTCTCTCTTAATGCACATGAATTACAGTCAACAATGTTCAACCTTTGCAGCTAACTTTTTTTTCTTCAGTTAAATGATATTTCCAAGTCAATATTTGAAATGTAATCCTTGCAGGACTAACCACATTCATTTCCATTAGCTCCAAGATAACTTTAAGTTATGGAAAAGCCCAACTAGATTTATAGCGTCTCACTGAGAATCAAACCCGATCTTTATCCTCCTTAACATATCACATCTAAGTTTTTCATAGGAATCCAAATTGCAACCAATTGATCTATTTCCTAATAGTAAATCAAAACAATCTGGACAAGTCTGTGTTTTGTAGTGACAAGCTTATCTTTCTAGGCTTTATCTTAAGTGCACAGGGTATTCATGTCGATGAATAAAAAGTGAGAGCAATCCAGGAATGACCCACACCGTCTTCTATCATTAGAGACTTCTCCACCATTTTCGTACCTCTCAAAGAGATAATCGAGAAATCAATTGATTTCGAATGGGAACGTCAACAACAAGCCTTCTATCTCCTAAAATGTAAGTTCTGCTATGCTCTCATTCTTTGTCTTCCTAATTTTTCTAACACTTTTGAGCTAGAATGTGATGCTTCATGTATAGGCATAGGCATAATACTTACGCAAGAGAAACAACACTTACTTTAGTGAAAAATTGAAAGGAGCACAACTCAACTACTCTACCTGTGACAAGGAACTCCTAGCAGTTGTTCGTGCACTCGAAATATGGAAAAATTATATTCTTCCTAAAGAGTTTGTCATACATACAGATCTTGAATTACTTAAGTGGTTAAACAGTCAAGTTAAGTTAAGAAAAGGACATATTGGATGGGTTGAATTTATAGAATCTTTCCCTTATGTGATTCACAATAAACAAGAGAAAGATAACATAGTAACCGATGTAATATCCTGAATGTGCACCCTTAATACTCAAATGCATGCTACTATTATGAGATTTGTACACATTGAAGAACTTTACTATTCTAATTCAGACTTTTCTGATATTTACAACCATTGTTCAAAAGGTCTTTTTAACAAGTTTGATCTTGTAGATAGATTCCTTTTTATATTAAACAGGTTTTGCATTTCGCAAGGTTCTTTACAAGAACTCTTAATCCATGAGGCACTTGCAAGAGGACTAATGGGATACTTCAGAGTTAACAAAACTCTCAACATGGTAATGGAACAATTTTTTTGGCCACACATGTAGAAAATCGTAGAAAAGGTATATTTTTAATGTATCATATACAAGTAAGCCAAATCAAAGGTAAATCGTAATGGCTTATATACTCCCTTGTTGATTTCTTCCCTTCTTGGATAGATTTATCTATAGATTTAATCCTAGGCTTTCCTCATACCAAGAGAGGATGAGATAATATATTTTTTATTGTTCACAGGTTTTCCAAGATGGCGCATTTTATTCCATGTCACAAAACCGATGATGCAACATATATCATCGACCTTTTCTTTAAGAAAGTTGTTCGACTTCATGGAATTCCTCATACAATTGTGTCTGATTATGTTACAAAGTTCATAAGCCACTTCTAGAAGGTATTGTGGGGTAAAAACAGTATTAAACTTCTTTATCCGATAACTTATTATCAAAAAACTGATGGAAAGACAAAGGTAATTAATCGAATTCTAGGTTCCTTACTTAGAACTCTGGTACGTAAGATCATATATGATTGGGAAGATTGTTTACCTTTTCTTGAATTTTCTTACAACAGATCAATCCATTTCACTACAGGTTATTCTCCATTCGAGATTGTTTATGGATTTAATCTACTTGCTACTCTAGATCTTGTTCCTTTACCTCTAGAACAAATTACTAGCATGGATGGAAAACAAAAAAAAACAACCTTTGTAAAAGACCTTCACGCCAAGGCCAAGCAAAGGATGGAGAAAACATACGAAGACATGGAACATAAAGTCAATAAAGGAAAACAATTTTTCAAACTTGAACCATGCGATTTGGATTGGGTGCACATACAGAAAGAGATTTCCAAAGCAGTAGAAATATAAACTTGACTCACGAGGCGGTGGACCTTTCCAAGTCCTTGAACCCATCAATGACAAGGCATACCGTATTGATCTTCTAGGTGACTATGACGTGAGTGCATCTTTTAATGTTTTTGACTTATCTCCCTTTAAAGTTTCATATTCGTTGATGAATCCTTCTAAGGATGGGAGAGATAATACATGCACCGCACGCCACTTTGCCAAATAGGATGGGCTAACTATTCCATCTGGCCCAATTATAAGAAACCAAGACAAAATCATAAAAGAAAAGCTTCAAACTGCAGTACAGGCTTTCATCAGTAAAGGAATCCAGGTCCACATAGAGACAGAATAATTTAAGGAGGGAAACTCATCCATCCTTCATAATAATACAACTTGGGATACCATAATCCAAGTTGAAGATAACCCATGACCAAATTGCAAGATTAATAAAGATAACCCTGAAATTAATTTTAAACCCCTTAAATTATTAAAACATTTGTATAAAGTATCCATTGCTAGAATATAAAGAATATATCACTTTTCCTAAGTAGATTTTAGTTATTTTATTTATTTTATCAGGATCAGGCCCAAAGATCGTGATTGTTTGTAATGAAAAAGCCTTAGGAAAGTCCATCATTTCTACCCTAACATACATGGCTAACCCATTCTTGTTCTATAAGGCATTGCCACCCCTTCATCTTCTATAAGACTCATATGGTCCGTTCGTCAAGCTAAACATTTTATCATGTATTAAAAAACCTTGATTTGTTTTCACAATAATTTGTTCAAGTATTGTATCAACGGCCAACGTTCATGCAACCCATTCTAGTGCTATTAAGACATGTTTTATTATTATTTAATTACATACTTAGGATCTTACAAGATTTCCTCCTCACCTATATAAAGGAGTCTCCCCCTTCATTGTTTTACATCATATTTTATTTTAATAATAATACAACGTGAGTACGTTTTTGCAAGAGTTGACCTAAGTGCATCCAAGTTCTTGAGAGAGAGATATTCACACTCCGGTTTGCCTTCTCACTATGATTATGAGGGCTGGTTAGAGTCATATTGCCAAGTTTTCGTTTTCATTGTGACTAGAAGGGTTCAGTAGGACATATCCATCTATCTTTCATTTCCATAACTTATCATCTTCCTCCTCCATCATCTCACCACCATCATCATCAAATCCTTATGGTTTGCGATAAGTACATACCTATAGGGGTTAAATTTTTAAGTCAATTGTGGTGAAGTGATTTGTGAAGTGTTTTCTTTTAAGACACTTTTTATTATTTTCTTTCTTATTTATAGCCACCTTATTCATTACTTTTTATTTATCTTTTACCCTAAACCCTTTGTTGCCGAAGCTAGCACCTACCAAGACTTGAGAATGTTTTGAGTAAAGTTTATTATAGGACTTTTGCACAAGAGGAATACCATACAAAGGCATTGAGTGGGAGGGATTAGAAAAGAACAGTAAAAGCCATCGAAGTCTTGAGTGCAAACACTAGAACTGAGTGCAATTCTTCTTTACTTAGTGATTTTCTAGATTCTTTTTGAGAATATACTGGTAAGATCTTTATTTACATTTCATTCCTTATTTTCTAACCATGTCTCAAGCTTTAAGTAAAAATCCATATGAAGATGTTCCAAAATTGAAAAACCAAGCACATATTTAGAAAATGTTGAGGATGATGAGATTAGAACTAATAACCCTCCATAAAAGATTGGTTCGAAAGAAAAAATCCATACGAACAAATCCAAGGAGACAACCAAGGCATGAAGAACATTAAGAGTATAAATATGAGGCGGCTGAGGTAATCTCTCAAGTATCAAGGAGGAATGTTCAAAGAGGAAATGAAGGAAAAAAGTTCTTTGATGACAATTTGAACATCATTTGAGTTTCCGTCCCAACGTTTCAAGGAAAAAAGTATCCAAAAGCACATTTGGATTGCGAAGGCAAAGTATATCATGTGTTTGAATGTCACAACTACTTGGATAAAAAGAAAGTGAGATTGGCAATAATAGAGTTCATTGATTACACCATTGTTTGGCGGGATCAATCAACTTCCACAAGAAGAAGAAATGGATAAAGACCTATAAACAATGGGCAAGACATGAATGTCATTATTAGGAGAAGATTCATTCATGTACATTATCATTGAGTGATGTGATCCAAATCAACATCATGAATGTCCTTGCATCTTCAACCTTTCATAATAATCAAAGGGGGATTTTCTCTAACTTATTTTTTCTTTATACAATAGTTATGATAATATTTTACATACATTACATTTATAGTTATGATTATAATATTATGTGATGTATTAAGTTACTATTATAAACCACATCTTGTTATGTTTATTACTTTTAATACTTAACTTATATTATACTTTCTTTTGTAGGTACATAGGTGGCCACATGAGGGGAGCCAACTTAAAGCTAGCATTGGAGTCCAAGAGTTATGGAAACATGACTAGGACAACTCCGGGACAGCTCAAGAACATTTTGGGACAAAGTTGTCAGCTACCCTCTAAGCTCATAGCTGACTTGAGATGTACTTTTGAGGTAGCCAGAAATCTCATTTCAGCTGGAGAGTTACACTATCATAACCAGCACAAAGAGTACTTCAAATATGACCTAGTTCAATTTTTGTGGAACCGTGCCTTTTCACGAATAGTTGCCATTCCAAGAGGTGCCCTTTCACAAGGAGTTGTTCGAAGACTCACGTACATGTAATTTATCTATGGTTAGCTCATCTTCAGCTCATACACATGGAAAGTAGCTCAATTGATGAAAGGATACCTCACACACAATGTAACCTTTCATGACAAGTTGCTGCCCATTGGATGCCATGTCATATAGGTGCACGTTGGTGAGCTTGTTGTAGCCAAATAAAGCTTAATTTGCAAAAAGACATGAGGCAACCCTCAACACCATTTGGCCATACCCTTAGCACACGCCTAGCACATGCCCAAGGCTTGGCGCCAAAGTGAAGGGATGTATATCTATTCGGCCAAGGGAGATGAGTCTTCAATTCAAACTGAATGGTCATGCTCCTACAGGAAGGGTTAGCCGAACCAAAACCAAGGCCAAGGGACATCTTCATTCATCCATACATCATGCATTTTTATCTAAAGTTTTGTATCTAGTCGAATAGGCATGTAATTATTCGGCCAACCCTTCTTAATCCAATAAATAGAAAGGCTTATTCTTTTGTAAAATCAACCCTTTGATTAATATAAAGTATTTGTGAGAATTCTCTCTTGCAAGTTCTTCAAGAACTTTATCGATTAAGCAAACTTTCTAAGTTTATGGCGTCAATCATTTCCCTTGATACTTTGAGTTCCTAGTTTTCATAACTAGAGGGTTCAAGTCCTATCCTGCCATCTCTTATTTCAGTTTATAAAGAATGGGGTTAAACTTTCTATAGTTTTTCTTCCTCTTTAACTTGTTTAAGATTCTACTTTCAGCCATCCATTTTCCATCATCTTCATGCCAATACCATCACTATTCCATTACATTTCATCACCATTGAATCATCCTTCATTTATCATCAAGGTCAATATCCATCATCACCATTGGAGGCCGAATCATCTTCCATTTGAAGGATAATTCTACATCACTTCCACAGCCTACGTTTGATAATATCTCTATTCTTTTATTTCATTATCAATTCATTTATTTCTTTTAATTTCTTATTCCATTTTAATTATTTCTTTCAATTATTTGTGCAAATTACTTATTAATTCAATTGTAGCATTTGATGTCTCTCATATATCGGCAAACAACAAGGCTATCAACTTCTCCATCATTGAAGAAGCTTGGATAGCCTTATATTAAGAGGTATTCAGAGCTTAGTTAGATTGACATTCAAAGTGCTGGAACAAAAACAAAAAGAAAGAAGAAAAACAAAAAGAAAAGAACTCATACATTAAATTTGGTTTACAAAAAGAAAAATAAAGAAAGAAGGAATTTAAAACAAAATTCCATCAAGGAAAAATTGAAGAAAAGTTTCAATTACAATAAAAAGGAATCACATTACAATATGGCCAACATCAAACTTGAAGGAGTTGTCATTGTTGTTTCTTGTGAAGGAGATAGTAAGTGTTATATCTTGGGTTGTAAGTTATCTTCATTACCTTTTCTTTCATCATTTTGTATTCATTACCTTATCTCTTCTTACTTATTCTATCTTATCTTTACCATATCCA